ACCAGAATAAACGTCGGTTACACGCTGCCATTATAATTAACGCGATTCCTTCTTTAGGGAAGAGAGGACGACGCAAGAAGTAAAAGACGCGGAGTAGTTTCCAGAGGATCGGCAAGATTCTCGAACACGCTCCCTTTCCAACCGGGAATTTACGAGCTTCCCTCCGTGTACTGCCGATAGAATTATTCCCACCTTTGTCTTCTCCTTCCTCCTAATTATTACTAGCCTCGGTGTAACCGCGAGATTTATAGCGCGGTATTTATAGATCTGGCCGTTCTGATATCCCCGGATTCGCCGATCTATCTCGCCACGACCACCGCCGGCGCGCGTACAATTGTCACGCGTTGGATCGACACAAGTCCAGCTACAGTCTCGCTTTTTATTTCCTTTCCTTCTCGCAATATAGATCGCGATCAATATCAACGAGAATTGGGAAAATAAATTGGGAAATTAGGAATCGAATTAGGGAATTTCTTCTTCTTCTTCTTTCTCGAATCTCGAATCCGTGACACAATCGGCGCGCCAGAGATCGGTTACATCTCGAGCAAAATTTCCACGATGATGGGGTAGGGTTATCGATGCGCCGAAAACGTGATTATTCATCGAGAACGATTATTATAGCGACGAGGCTTTCGTGAGGAGCAGCGTGCGTGAACGAACGCGCGCGCGTACAAACGGTCGTTAAAGCAATCAAGCCACGTGCTACGCGCTTGCTCTCTCTCTCTTTCTCTCTTTCTCTCTCCCTCTTCTTCTCTCTTCATCTCTCTCTCTCTCTCTCTCTCTCTCTCTGTCTCTCTCCCTTCCTCCCTCCGCGTGGCCGTTTCTAAAGGCACATTCATTAATGTCGCGTAGCATAGTTGGTATCGTTTTACCCCTACGGCGAGGCGAGGCGCGGAATTTTTTTATCCCCCTCCTTCTCTCCTTCTCCTTCTTTTTTTTTTTTCATTTTAATCTAGCCTGCCCTCCAACGTATAGATTTTTCGGGGCCACTGTTACGGACATACTACTTAGTGTCAACCAACCACCCCTCTCTCTTCCCTTGCTCCTTTCTGCCACGCACCCCCTTCTTTTCACGGCGTCGTGGGTCGAGCAACCCCCCTCTCTCTCTCTTTTTCTCTTTCTCTCTCTCTTTTTTCGCTCCACTGTTACTTATGGCGGCCGCGTTAAATTTAACGAGGGGGAAACCTCTCCTCGTGAAATATCGGAGAACAATGATTTCCGAAATTATTGACCGACCACCACCGCTTGATTCGAACCGGTTCTTTTTTTCCTTTTTTTTTTTTTTTTATAAAGCGTATATATAAAACTGCGATATTATTTTCTTCTTCTTCTTCTTCTTCTTCTTCTCTCTCTTTTTCAACACAAACCGAATTCGAGCGCAACGAAGCGTGATGCGAATCGTGAAACGTCAAGGATTCAAAGGTCCAAGAACAGCTCTTTTCGAGCCCTCGTGCGTTTCATTAATCGGGCTATTGTTGTTATCGAGCAATTGTAAAACAATTGCAATTAAAAAAAAAAAGAAAAGAGGAGGGGAGGGAGAAAGGGGAAGTTGTCGCACGTTGCCAGCAACGATTATTAGACGATCGTACACGGCGTTTAAAAATCCTTGCCAAGGATAAAAATTTTTAAGTTTCAAAGCCCCCCTCCCTCCCCTAATAACGCCCTTTCTTTCGCCTTTCGGTGTTTCCATCGTTCGATCGTTCGAGGGGTAAATTGAGTCGGAGCGTACGAAAACACGCGTACTACTTATCGCCCGCGATCCCCCAGCTCACCCCCACAGCTCTCTCTCTCCACTCTCACCCCTCGCGCGCGCGTAAACTTTTCACGAGGGGTGAACCGCGCGCGTAATATCGGCCATTCACGTGTGAGCGTGTCTCCTTCTACCCCCTCCCTCCCCTCCACCCTCGACTCACATCCACGCGCGCCCGAAAAAATAAACACAGAATCGAACCCTTTCTACAAATTCAAATAGCCGGAAGAGGGGGAGAGCGGCTGCCTCCTCGCGCCCCCTCCCTCTCCCCCTTTCTTTTGTCCCTCGACTTTTTCGAAAAAATTAGACCAGGGATACGATCGATGGAAGAAGAAGGATAAAGAGAAGGGGGGAAGGGAAGAAATAGCCACGGATCGGCGATCCGCTGTCAAAACACGAAATTCGATCGGGAGGAATGATCGGCCCTCCCCCTGTGCCCCGATTTTTCATTCGACGAATTTTCCAGACCCGAGGATATATCCCGAAAGGGGTGACGAAATGGATCGGTAATAAAATAGTCGGGCCGCGGTGAAATATTGAACGATCGATCGCTCTCTGTTTACGGAAACACGATATCGTTGAGCCGAACGAGTCAATTTTTCGAGGGGTGGTGACGTAGAGATGATTAATAATCGGCCGAATAATGGGATAATTGGTGAACACGATTGGTTCACCCGTTTATCTTTTTCTTTTTTTTTTCTTTCTTTATTTCTATCTATTGCTGTCGATCCCCGATTCCTGTTCAGAATGGAAGCTTATCCTCCTAAGAAGAAAATCCCGAGAAATCGGCCGTTATCTGTGATTAAATCGCAACAATCTGTGCCACGAGACGCGAAACGGGGATGCCCCGAGGCAACATCCGAATCGTGACCACGATCGGGCTTAATAGAATTACTTAAGATAATTGGCAGAATTAGCCAAAGCGGTGGACCAACCGTTCGAGTTCCAGCCACGGTTAAACTTTTAATCGTAGGCGATAAAAGATAAAATTAAAATTATCTTTTTAGAGAGAGAGAGAGAGAAAGAGAGAGAGAAAAAGAGAGAAAGAGAGAGAGAAAAAGAGAGAAAGAGAAGCACGTTTCCTGCTCGATCGAATGAGAATGTTAAAACACGGCACAGCCGACGGGAATAACTTTGTTCGTTCCGATTGTATCGCTTCTGACTTTCCGAGGCGAAGATTCATGACAAATTATTAAACCTCGGTGCTCCAAAGTTCCACAAAGTTCCATAACGCGCGTTGATTTACGAGATCGCGTGTCCCGATAACTTTCGAATATTCCCCGAGAGCGAGTGGCTGTTAGCCTTAACAAGGCAGTTCGACGAGTGCGTAACGAGCGAGGACTATTATTAAGTGTGCACCGCCACGCTCTATCGATGCCCGGTGGCGTTTCTGTCCTCGTCCGAGCCACCTCGCCACTGGATCTACCCCTCTCGTTCCATCACCTTCTTCCGGAAAAATCCTAGTATTTTTAACCCTTCGAGAGAGATCGTCCTCTTTCAACGGCCATGAAATAGATTATTCAACATCCGACAAATTTTTTTCTTTCTTCTTCTACTTTTTTCTTTCGTAGAAACAACAAGATATATGCATCAAAATATATATACACACATATATATATATATATATATAATCACGGTCGATATATTTCGATCCAAGGAAATCGAAGAATCGAGATGAAGATTTCGCGAGCAAAGTGCAACTATTTAGTTATATTAGTATAGTTTGTTTGTTTTTTTTTTTTTTTTTTTTTTCGAATAGAGAAGATATTGGGAACGCGCGTGTAACACGAAGGAGGGGGGATGATTGCGAGCGTGGAGCGTAGAAGGGGTGGTCGAGTGTTCTCGAGGGTGAACGGTGGTAAGAGAGAATTTTCAAAGAGCGTGGCGAACGTCTGACGAATTTTAAACGAAGGGGAAGGGGGGAGAGAACGCTCGACGAATACACGTATCGTATCCCCGCGAAAATATTGTTTCTCATCGCGAACGGATGATGTATTTTCATCGGATCCGATAATTTTTCCACAGGTTTTCGATCGAGAGCAAGGATTATCGAGAGAAATATTGGGAGGCGGGGAATCGATTCGACGACGAGGACGACGACGACGACGACGATGACGAAGCGTGGGAAAGAGAAATTGAAATTGGGAGCTCTCGTTAACCTCTTCATTACTCGGCTCGATCTTCTTTCTTCTCCCTTTTTCCAATTCCAACTCTTTAACTCTTTTATAAACTCGTTGACAAACGTGCGACGTTTTCTTTCTTTCTTTCTTTCTTTCTTTCTTTCTAAAATACTCTTCTCACTCACCGGATATTCCTTTCAATTGAAGTTCAAACTATGTATATTTTTCTTCTTCTTTCTATAATTCGAAGATTTAGAGTTTTGTTTTTTTTTCTTTCTTTAGCATCTTTCAATTCAATTTTAAAAGAGTTTCTCAAAACTTCCTCAAATTTACAAATACTTTTTCCTTCTATAAATTGTATAAAAAAGATGACAGAAGGTCCAGAGGTTCGAGACGCACGCGTCTTCTCCATCTTTTCTTTTTTTCGACGTTACAGCAGATTTTTCGATTCTCGATAATTGAAATTCAAATTTTAAACTTATATAAATTCTTCCTCTTTCTATAACTCGAACGGGGTCCAGAGAGGTTTCGAGGCGCACGCGTTTCTCTCTTCTTCCCCTTTTTTTCAACGATCCAAATGCTACCCCGCTAGAAGTTCGTCGCACGGTTCGTCGATCGGCTATTTTTCAACCAGCCATTGGCAGCCCGGACGATTTCGAAAGACCGAGGCTCGCCGGGTCTAATTAAATTTAGAATATTTTTTAAATTTCTCCGATTCCACTCGGATGATTTGGCACGTGATCGTTCTCTCGTGGTCCCCACTTCGCACGAGCAACAAGAGGAACAAGAGGAACAAGAACAAGAGGAAGAAAGAACCAGTGAAACCAGTGATGGAGGAAGGGAGGGGGAGAGGAAAGCGCGAGGGAAACACACAGAGCGAGGGATCGATTCCTCGCGATCCTCTTGCAAAACCTACACGCCGCACCTACAGTAGCGTAACACACCGTCCATTCCGCGAATGGAATTTTCCTTTGAACAAAACACCCGACCGACCGACCACCACCACCACCACCAACTTTCGCATCGATCGTTAACGAGCTAACAAAATGAATCATCTTCGAGAGGAGAGGAATCAACTTTTGCCAATGATTCATAAACGATCCTAGCGATTCGTGAACTTTACTCTTTATTTATCCTTCCATCGATTTCCATCGATCATCGCGGATTAAAAAACGCAAATTTTCGAATCGCCCGCTCGAGAGCCGAGGGTGACGAAGGAGGAGGAGGAAAGGGAGGAGAGTAGTTTTCTCGTTCTCGAAAATTTGGAGGGAGGAGATAGGATGATATCGAGGAGTTGGAGGACGAAGCGTTTCTGTTTCCCGAGACTCCGAGAGACGTCACGGCCCTGACCCTCCCGCCGAGTTCTCACTTCGGCCGTTTTAGTTTGGCTAAAACAATCGGCGGTCTCTCTCTCTCTCTCTCTCTCTCTCTCGTGGCCGTCTCTTGGTCTCGGTCCTCCGCTCGTTTCCACCGACGCTTTCCTTTTTCTCGCTTTCCTTCGCCAAGCGCGAAATAACAGAGAAGCGGGAGAGAGGAGGGGGGAGGGAGAGAGGGCCTGAACGGCTAACTCGAATTACCAAAGCGGCGAGGAGGAACGGCTTTAAGCGACTTATGGCGAATCGGTGGAACGACGCGAACCCGGGGATAAAGCCGGGGAAGAAAGCTCGATTTATTAACGACACGACGACGACGCCACCGCTCTCTCTCTCTTACTCTCCCTCTCTCTCTTTCTCTGTCATTTTCTCGACCCGCTCGAGGAAATTGATTTACGGGGTTTACTTCCCCGAACCGCCGGTCCCGCGACACACACGGCCGGAAATTCGGACAAGTTATGGACACGCGC